TACGATGGCTGGGTCGGGCAGTTGTCAGCAACGTCACTGGGAAACTTCTGAGTGGATTGTGGCCAAACGCCATCTCGCAGCCCTTCCACTAGTGACGCTGGCAAGGACCACCCGCCTCCAGCTGTCGTACTCACTGCCTTCAACTGCTGAACTATGTGGTGTTTTCTAGCGATTGAACGACTTCTTATACTGGAGGAGTATCCCACGATATGGATATGGAGCTGCGGAGGCCCTTCATAATCGGAGTTTCTGGAGGACCCACGTCCGGAAAGGTCAGCTTACATAAAAGCTTGAGGGAAATCGCTCGATTCGCTCATCAGTGTTATAGTACGCAATTCCATATACTATTCGTAAGTAGGTGCTGAGTACGTTGGCACGTGCTCATGTGCACGGAATCACAAAATCGAAATTCATATTTCACGTACATAGCAATAATTGTACCATAGCAGAAAGCCTGGCAGCAATGTTGCTAAGCTATGTGCTCTTGTGCGGTACAAGTGTAAGGGTGGGGATGGTACTTCCCATTTCCCTTTCCCCCAGCAAGTCCACTAAAGGCCACGGGCACAAGAAGAGCTATAATAGTCGACTTGAGAGACGCAGAGATAGTCGCGAGAGTTAACGCGCTGGTTTTGCTAAAGTACCACCCCTCCCCTTCCCCCTCCAAAACGAACAGTTAACAGTCGAAAACATCATTCTCAAAGGCGACTACGGCGCCTTCCCCTCCCTCCAGTGACCACAGCAATATACAACCGACCTGTAATAATACGGCCCTCCTCGCTGGGGATTCCCAGCGTACAACGTCCCTGGAGATGAATGGTACCATAAGTACCTTAAAACAGATATTCAGGTTCTTCAGACTTCAGGGTCTTGTACCAGTAGCTCAAAAACAACTTAAGGCTACGTTCATACTCCACGACTAGGGCGATTTGGATATCATGCAACTGCGACTAACTGTTACCCGTGGACGGCCCGCAACTACTAGTCCAATCGCATTCAGGCTAGAATTTTTCGGTCGTTCTAGCCTTCAGCAGGCGTGGTTCTCACAGCGCGTTTCTTCCGAAATCGCGCGAATGTATCGTCCGAATCTCGAAGTATGAACGTAGCCTAACGTGGAAAATTACCCAATACGTGTTTTTTGGCTTCTAGCAGAATCACCTTCTAGCAGTCCGAGCATGACCTGGAGTAAAGGTCCAAAAGGGTTCCAAAACTGGGACGACTCCCTCTCGAAAAGTATAACAGTACAATATTCCGGAAAATTCGCTCGCCGCAGAACATTGTTTCCTTGCTGTAGGAAGTGGATCCCTATACGCGTTTGCTCACACTTCGTACGGGGAAGATTTCACCCTTCATCTTGGCCAGCCTCTACAGCAGCCCTTTCACGCCGACAATCGAGAAAGGTTGCCTTTTACAAAGTGGGGGACCGGCAAAATAAGAAAGAGTTCGGGTGATTAGGAGGCGCAGACGACAAAAGAGGGCGATCCACAAAACGAGGGGTCGACGGCATCGACTGGGTAGATCAACGGGAGAATGCTCCTTTCGAAAAAAGTGGCCTTCCCAAAAGTGAGGGACTGGCAAAATAACAAAGAGTGTGGGCATTTATGAGAGGGTAGACGACGAAACGAGGGGTCGGGCATTGACACGGTAGATCAACGAGCAAAGTGTTCCATGTACGGTAAAGCTGAAGATCAAGAAAAAGGTGTTACACAATTCGGCCCATAATTTGTACATTTTTGTGCAGAGCTGGTCACGCTGATCTCAAAAATGTGTGGTTCATATTTCGCAAGAACTTATTATAAAACGACTAATTTATTCGTTTAAAAAATCATGCCACCGAAGAATACGGCAAGCAGCCGCGAATGACATGAAGGGTGGTTAGCAGGCCATCAAGAGACCAACCAGGAGAAGGGAAGAAAAGATTGGGAAGATACTCCGAATATTATGTGAAAACAAAGTGCAAGAGACCCACCCTTTCCCCGTCCTCTCCCCGCGGTGATCCGCCCGATATCACCAACGATTCTAAATCTATCCAGAATCGTAGAGTAGAGTTTACGAAATGGGTGTTTGGTTTTGGACCTGCGATGAAGTATGAATGAACCGAGACAGGGTTCACGGAAAGGGCCACAGATCACTGTCGCGTGGAAAAAGACTTTGCCAGATGGCGAAACCATCCAAAGCTTCCGATTCCGCTCTCTCCCAGCGATCGAAAACGGCCGCCCATCTGGATCTCTCGCCACCCCCCCCTCGCTGGGGCCTATCCGCAGAGAAACGGGGACGTACGATGCGGCCTATCCGCACTACCACGTTGTGAGGGTTGGGTCCTGGTACGAATGCTACCTACATAACCCTCCTTGCAACTTTATTTCGTTGCGACTGGGAAGTAACGCTCCACATTAACAAGATGATAGCTATTGGAGGTTTCCAAATATTGTTCCAAATTTTCAGACATCGGTTATCCAAAGAATCATGGATCGTTTCCAAAAGTGGAAAGAAGCTCGCAATCAACAGGTATATTTTCATAGAAAAAAAACATTACAAGTTTTTTTGTATGAGCTTCTATTAATCTTCGGGTCAGTAGGACGTCACTGTATGGGGGAAAACAGGCGTTAGCTGGCTTGGTGGGGTCATTTCGCTGGTTCTCGTCGATCACTGTCGATATCTCCCGTGGACACTTGTAACTAGAGTGGAGTTATACGGTGGCAGAAGCTCTGCTTGCTCGTGACGAGCGTCTCCAGTTCTCATCAAGGTGTGACGTAGATAATAACTAGTAATAGAAACTAGTGAACTCGCAAAAAGCCCCTTCCAAGCCGAACAGTGCCGGATAGCCTCCGAATTGGGCTGATAGTCAGGAGATCTGAACTAGAGAGTTGTTCACGCGTTGATCGCACGCGTGATCCTTCTGCACTGCTAGATAGCGACCGCGAAGCCGCTTTCATGGCTCTGCGTCCTCCTTCCCTCACTCGGATCTCCTGACCAGTGTCTTTAAATTGAGTTTTCATTATCATGTCGTACACGAGGCTGTTCTCGTTAAGGTCATAACCATCA